TCATGTATATATTACCCGTACGATTTGGATATGTCGTTCAACGATCTCTTGAGTAAGTATATATGTATATGTATGATGCGGTGGGCGGGATAAGGAACGACTGTAAGCCACTTCTACAGACAAATGAATGGAATCTGAATACGAAGTAATTCAAATAGCGATAAAATTAGTATATATTGGAAGATGGAAATTGTCGAAAATGATTGAAGGTGTATCGCAACCGCTCGTTTCGATATCGGTTTCAGTGATTGAATGATGAGGGCGCGTATATATTATAGGTGTGTGGTAGAATGGATCGTAAGTTTACTACTTGCGGGCAGGCGAGGAATCCGGAATTTCGATATCGTGAATCAAGAAAGTTGATGCAAGGAACGAAAGTGGTCAGTCGTCTGTAATTATGGTTATGGTCAGTCAACTGGAACGAAGGAGAAAGAAAAATGTTGTTCGAAATGAAAAAAGATTGGAGAAGTTGGTTTGTGAAGGGGGAAGAACTAACGGGGTGGTCAATTGTGACTAAGGCGACTTTAGCAGTTGGCTGCAGATCGGATCTGTGGCTGTATTTGACTGGTACCTGGGCGTTCATGCCAAAAATTAATCGAACCTCTCTCTTTTTTTCCTCTAACGCAGCGGATAAGATGATATTATACAAGTGCGGAAAAGGCAATGAATATATATATATATATATATCACAATGCAGACAAGCAAGTGGAGTGATTGTAAGTGTAAGAGTGAGGGGCGGGAAGGGTGGAAGAAGGAGCAGCGCGCGCAATTCAAGGAAAGAAAGAGAGGTGTGGTAGTCGTTGATCTGAAGTAGGTGGTAGTAAAAGTAAGATATGGATAGAAGGGTGGGTATGGATATGGATGTGTAGGTAGGTAGGTGCTTTAGGTTGCTAGTGTACTACTACTATAGCTCAGATGTATGGATTGTAAATAAATTGTGGATTTCCTGGTGTGGTGTGAGTGGGTATGGGATGTGTTGCTCACCACTTCGAGCTCACTGGGTACTGCTCGTCTTTTTTGGTGGTTGTTCGGTGGTGTATCTGTATGTACATACGGGGGGGTTTGTCTTGATGAGCGATCTATAATCTTGTTGGTACAGGAAGCTTACAAGCCTACAAGCCTACAAGCCTACAAAAAAGCCTGTGCTTTTTTTCTAAGAAAAACAACAGGGGAACAATTGTAATCCCTCGCTGTTTTTGCAACACTTTGTTAACCTTGACCTGGCACTCCTTGACTTGACCTACATGACCACAATCAGTGGTGTGGCTTGGCAAGGGTTTACTCCCCGGGACACTCTCTCCTACCTTCTTTTTTCTCTCTTGCGATATCTACTCTGTATCAATCCTTGGTTGGAATTCCTTGGGGGCCTGAGATTCAGCGCGTGGTATGGACCCCTTCATCGCCTCGGTTAATGATTTGCCTATGTAGGATAAGGGCAATCTCCATATGGAGTATTTGGTTTGTATTTTACTTTACTTTGCGTTGCTTTGCTTTGCTTTACATCTTGACTTCCTTGCTAATTCTACTATTTGACCCTCACTTTACCCTGAATCAACTTTATTCATATTGATTCATTCCTTGGATCATGAGAACGATTCCGAATAAATGATCATTGTGATGATGGTGGGCTCACTTTGAAGTTTCGTATTCACTTCACATATCAAACCTTTTACTATCTCCGTCATTTTCATAGGTATGAGATTGATTATTTGACGGTAAAAACAAATCTATTCCATACTTATCCACTGCAGTTTTGTCCCTTTCCAAAGTTTCCATAGCTTATCCATGTCATTCGGATACCCCCAACTGCACCGTGCGTGGAAAACAACATCAGATATGATCCATAGAGAGACCGAGAGCGAAAGAGAGCACTGTATTCGAGGCGAAACAAACACCTTTAATGATATCAACTGGGCTCTGATACAAAGTGGGTTGATTTCCAAGTAAACGAGTGTACTGTATTCCGGAAAGAATCAAAATTTAGGCTTCGGCAGTGGACTTTTACATGTAACGTCGATTTCCAACTCGGAAGTGATTGAGTTTATCAATCATAGAATTAACCCTACCCTACTATCCATTTATGGGGGTCTCCGTACCATTTTCAAGTTCGTGTGATATCGTCGTAAGCATTTGTTACTTGGGTATTATTATTTTGATTTTGACCAGAACTTGTTGTTCCTTTTGTTCTGCGATCTCTTCCTTAGTGGCTAAGTTCACTCGCTTCTTTCGCTTCGCACCTGCAGAAAGCCGGGCGGATCACACCAACTCAGGTACGAGCAAGGTTCCTAGCTCTAGAAGCACTTAAGCACCGACCTTACTAGTCCTTTATGATCCTCAACTAGGCCATAGTAAGTAATCATTCGCACAGCAAGCAAAGCTTACCCACCCTCTTTTAGTATCCATGTTCTGGGTAACAGTGCAACGCAATCAAGATACGTTCTAATTTCTCAGGATACAGCCCTTCGCACCTAGAAGAAGCAATTCAGATGACCTTTTTCGCCCAATCTCGATCAAATGGGGGTTTAAAAGAACAGATCATACCTTTCGCCACTTCCAAAATTGTCAGTCAACTTCCTACTTGAGCTTTTAACCTGGTCCAACAGGCTCGAAATAGCTTGACCCAGCATCTCGGAGAGTAGGCCGAGTTCCTAGAGCCGAATTCAAGTACTAAGGAAAATAAGGATGTGTGAAGCCTTGAGAGGTACCCTTGATGATTGGCGGTCATTATCAGATGAGGGCTTCCTAGAAGTACTAAAAGTCAAACTCAATTTTATTTCCCCATTTCTTCCCCACGTACAGTTACGACAATGACTAGAAGATCAATTCTTCTCTCTGGTAAAGAGATGAGATGAGATGGAAATCGGATCGTGATAAATTGGCGAATATGATATCATGCCGTCAAAGTATTGTGCTGATCACCCGTCAGCTATCGTATTTGTTCATTCAATCTTTCTATCCAAGATCCCCAGAAATTGGTGCCAGCTTACCACTGCCAAAGGTGCTTCCGTAGCTAGAAGACGGTTCCTGAGCCTAACACATAAAAATAAAAGCAGCATGAAACTTGCTGTTCTGCACTGCCATCACGAAGCAGTCATAATTACCCTTGAAGATAGCATAAAAAGTTACAAGGTTGCACAATGAGAGCTATTTTCGGTCTCCACTATGCTTGGTTGTGCATATGCAAGCCAACAGACAAAAAAGGTCTACCACACACTGCTGAAATGTGCAGGCTCGCAAGATAACTTGGAGAATTCGTGCTGTCTGAGCGTAGCATTCTGAGAATGTTCCTCTCTAAATTTTACCTTATTCTCACCTGAGAGAAAAAAAGGTTTGTTAATGGATCATAGTTCAAATTCTGGCTGAAATATGTTGTTGAAAGGCGATTTGTCAGGAAAGCTAGCATATGCAGTAGTCTACCTGTAAGCTTTTTAACAACTGAACATGAAAGCCGTTTTATCAATTCCAATTCGTACGGGGAAGAGCGATACTCAGCGAACCACCACATTCAACCCAACCCCCCTCCTTCGCGGGACAGAAGCACGAACAATCAAAATATTTTTCTATAACCCGAGCCCGGAGAGGATGACAAAAAACACGAAGACATTTTCCTTTGCATCTCCCTGATAAGACACAACCAATGGGACGTGTTCCCAGAAAACTCTCCCTGATCACGCAAATCGCGAACTTAAGTTGGACACTTCTACACTTAATAAGATGTGCAATTAAGAAATCTTACGCTTCCGCTTCGCCGCATTTTCAACGGGAACTATTCTGAACATCCTCGAATGCCACGAGTGTCCAGCGCCAGCGCCAGAGTCAGGGTGGTAGGGTGGTAGGGTGCCCACAGGAGCTTTAGAGAGGTCCTGTATCTCTTCCTTTAAGGGGGCTACAGACTACAGTGGTTCCAGCCTCTTTGATTTCCAGGTGATCGTCATGTGGCTTTCTATGTGGGAGAAGCCGAAATTAGGATATACGTCTACACTTACTTCATCATTTTCATGATTAAAAATACAATGCAAGATATGTAAAAGAATTAAAAATAAACAATAGCATAAATAACATAATACGTCAGAACAATACATGCGTCTTTGAAAATTCGATTGGAGGTATCGACACCTCGCACTTTTCCCAGGAATTTGCAATTCAGCTGGACCCCAAAAGTCGCGTAGAAAAGCCAGATTGGGAAATGGGGTAGCAAAGTTAATTGTCACGATCGTAACGTGGAGATATACCTTTGACCTTTGTTACCACTCTGATTCCCTTAGCGTTGGTACTGTACGCTGTCTTTCTGTGATGGGCGCTTCTAGTCTTTCTTTCTTAGTATCGCTTTCCTTTTACTTTTTTCTATGTTGCGACCGACATTTAGACGATAGAATCGGCGGCGTATTAGTATGCCATCAACCTTCGGACAATTTCAAGTAAGCATAACGCTTTCCCTTCGCATTGCAGTGCAGAGGCGGGTACGGAACAGTACTTGTCTTTCAAAAAAACAGTTGGTTGGTGTCTGAGTCTGACTTGGGATATCAACGTTGCTGCCGCACGTAGGCTTGTTCTTTAATCTCCTTTCTTGCTCATTACTCGCTGGCTCTTTTCATCACGGTTCACACACAATCATTTTTTTCGACTGTCGGACTGGTTCGGAGTTGGCCTCGTGCTGGCGCGCGCGATGGACTTTTTATGCAAGTAGGTGCGAAGATGAAAGTAGTGTACAAGGGGTATTCATACGGTCGTGTCCCTAAATAAGGAATGGTGAAATCCCCAAGAGGGGGAAGCGAGTTTGCAAGGAGTTGTAACTTGTGACATCCGTTACTCTAACGAATTCAATTGGTGTATGTACGACTGGGATGTATAGAAGTAGAACTTCGGTCCGCTGTCTAATTCGTAGTTGCCGTGATCTCTAAGTTTGGTATTCCATACGTACTACTTCGCAAAAAGATTTTACTTGTTTTATCTGAAGTTGAGTATTGCCGCTGGGCAAGAATACTTTGAAAGGTTCCTTTTCAAGGGTCATGTTCTTGAATGTCTCTTAATGATGCTTGATCCTTGATTCCCGCATATCCCTCGTCGAAAATCAATCTTGATGTATTCGATTTATCAGTCAACCCTGCAAGACGTAGATTGCAATGGAGAATCATCGTGGCAACGGGGATTGTGGATTGCGAAAACAAAAGGAACCTTTTGGTATTGCTGTAGACTTTTATATGAGCGGCTTCTTGAACACGGCTCATAACGGGGCGATGGAGATAACCCCCAGCTGTCTATGGGTTCGTAGGTTCATTCTATGATTCGAATATGGGAGGATATGTTTTTAGGGTGCCTTATTGGGCAAAAGGAAATGCAAACCCAGGAATGAATCAACAGCATGTTCGCCGACCAAACCTCGTGGTTCAGGGGTTTCTTGAACTGGGGAAAGGAAGAAAGGATAATTCCGTTCTTCCGTAGCCTTTAAGACATATTTTAATCCAAGGGACCATAAATGACCAACGCAGACGAGCATAACTTGTTTCAAGATTATGTTAAACGCTTTAACCCTTAAGTATCTGTTGTAGGCTCTAGACCTAGACTCTTGAAAGTAGGTTACAACAATCTTTTTGCAATGCCATTGAACTCGATGGCGATGGCGACGGCGACGGCAACGCAATATCTCTCTCAGGGTCTGTAATGAAATTAAAGTATTCTGAAAATTTCATCATTATCCTGTTGCGCGTCTGATCATCTGTAATCTCCCCAAAGTTAAGCGTGGAGGCCAAAGCGATGTAATAAGAATGGTGGTGGGGTCTATTTAATGATTAATCCCATGTACTTACGAGATGCAAAACACAAGCCGAGGAAGTCATATAAAATTATAAAGCTGGGAAAAGGCACGTAAAAAGCCTCGAAAGCCTTCACACAAAGGAGTCTGAGCGGCCACGTGGAAGGTCGAGGGTCATTATTGCCAGTGGAAAAATGCAGGGAGAAAGGGGGGAAGGAGTTGGGGGACCTTGTGTTGGGGGACATGCAGGTACAAGAGTCGTTCGTACCCAAAGTAACAGGTAGGTAGGTTATCATACGGCAATGCTACCTGCGCCTTCCCATTTCGCCATCATAAGTATATGCGAACATATCATCTGTACCTATGTATCTGCAAAAGTATGATGGCATACAACCTATCAGATGATCTTGATGACTATCATCGCGCGTAAGTTTTGTTTATCACCGAAATTTCGGGAGTCGGTATTAGTCGAAGGAAATGGGTAGGATCCGATGGATGGAAAAATTATTGCTAGAGCTGATTGGAAGCCGAGTCGTGAATATCAACACGAGCGGCACGGCCATACTAAGTTTGTCCTTTGTTTCTAGGTGAGTTGTTGTGAGATTGATTACTTTACTTAAACATGCTTCGTTCATGGCTGTCATCAAAATGTTCTGATTTGTTTAATGTTGACTGACACGGTCGGTCGGCCTCATTATTTTACCTTCAGTATCTGCAGGTCGCTCATTATGTTCGTACCTGCATTATGTTGTGTTCACAAGATTTTGATCTCCATTTCCCAGTTCTGAGAAAGGAAAATGGAATAACATCTACCGAAAATACCGGACATACAGACCCATGAAGTTTCCATGGGTCTTTCATGCACATCAATCAATTCTCGCGATGAATTATGATGATTACTAGAGTACGATCTGGAAGATCATGATTAACACAAGATCAACAGGGCCACTACGGTGAGCGCCCGGGATTGGGATTTACCTTCTAGGTTTTGATGGGCATGCTCGAGGGATGTTGCAACTTATCAGGCAAGCTATTCATGTTGATCTTTACCTCGAACTGCTTACCTGCGTGATATCACTGTATTGTTTACTGTTACGATACTTTCATTGTATGCTTAAGATACCAGCGAAAGGAAGAGGAGGAGCCACAGCCAAGTCATGGAACCAGCAATCTCATCCTGCCGGCAACTCTGACCTACATTAGCGACGTCGCACAAAGTCCAAGAAATCCAGACATCCTAGTTTTTCTTCTGCCTTCCAAAGAGCGGTCCGTATCCTATGCATGTTCTGCTTCCTTCTCATCGTTCTCATTTTGATAGCATCCTCTTTCTATTCTGCTGCCTGCGATATAATTCATACTTTTCAAGGTTGTGTGTCCAAATATACATTATCACTTCGTTAGGTGAATAAACGATTCGTTCCTTTCTGCATAAAGTTGATGCAAGCAAGGTAAACTAGATTCCAAAAATGACAGGTCAGAGATCCCATTAGATCCAAGTGGATAGAGCCTCAGAAACTTCCAGGTACACGCTTAGTCCACAAGCCACAGGCAGTTAATGATTCACATCTAGGGATTGCTTAAGGCGGCCTTCTTGACCGATGATCGTGATTCAGACCATATTTCGAAATTAAACAAGAATGCATTCGAGGCTTGAAGATTGCTTACTATCCTTGTTATCCCGAATAATGGAGATGAAAATAGTCTCACATGACGAGCCCATTGCTTGAACGCTGTGAAAATCCTTCGGGCTGATACATATTCCAATCAGTCACACCTTGTTTGTTCCTTCCCCAGACAAATTATAATTCTTCAGCACTTACCGATAGTTGTGATGGATGATCCCTATCACAATAAAGTGAGATCTTCAAATGATTGTCATCTGCGCGCCCAATATCAAAAACACGAAGCGGTATTCATATTCATGTTCCCCGTCTGGAGAAGTATTCTCACTATCGGGATTCAAGTTGGATTCAGATTCTGAATTTCATAATTGTCAGAGGCCATCGATCTTGGCTAGAAAAAACGGAGGCACTTCCGTTACCTTTTTGATCCTTCTTCCGACTGAACAAATGGGTACGGCAACCTGCATATTCTGTGCACCAGATACCTTCTCCAATTCAGTAGTACAGCAGTACGAATCCGCGACCCAGTTCCGTAGCCCTGGAAATCTTTCGCACCTGCTTCGATGTTATTGTTGCATAACGGCCTACCCTTTCCGTTCCATTTTCCCACTTTTATTCGCAACTTCAATTCCTTTTGGCATAAGTTTATGTTGGACGGAAGAGTGTTGTGGAACCACGCTACCCGTTCGCCCTTGATAATTCCTCAAAAGCTTTCCTTTCTTTGCATGACGATACGAGTCCAAGTGGTACACATGTATAAATTGATGCCGATGGAATGGTAAATGGATACATGAGGCGTTTTCCAGTGACCATTATTTTGGTGTTAAGGGATCTTCTCTATGGACATCCGGTCGTAATTTTCCTCTTACCGTGGGTGGGTACCGGTGTCTCATTATTGTTTCCGTGTCGCATGTTGTCGAAATATAACGAACGGTGTATCATTATATGCGGAGCTTACCGTGGCTTGCCTGGAATTCACAAAAGCCTATCATCCCATCTATTTTCCAGGTCATGGATATAATGTTCGGTCAGCAGCACATATTTGGTCGGAGATGAAATCTTAAAGGCATCTCAGGAAGAGTATATTTCCTTACTATTGAATTCTTCTCGTAGGCACTGATTCAATATCCCATGCGTTTCATTGAAATGCCAAGTTGTGAGCCCCTGGATCATTCGCGTACGCGCGAGTTGCGAGTGTAGGGATGGACACAACCTTACGTTTGGAGGGCAAGGGAGAATTGATTTATCAGGATCAGTTGGAAGAATGGAAAATTTGGAGAAATTTGAACGGTCGTACCCAGGAAAAGATAGAGTTTGTTGGTGAGCTGTGTTGTCATTGTCTACGTTTTGTCGACGAATGATTGTATCAATGCTTAAATCATGTTGCTGGCAATGATCAATTATCATGAACAAAACACATATTAAATGTCACCATATATTTTGATCTCTACAGCCACCTGACCTTCTCTTATCTACACTCTTTCCGACTATCTCATGAGCATCAATATCGTAATCCAAGGAAGCACTGAACAATAACCTAACACCCTCTCTTAATGTACTATACTCAAGCTCTCATCTATAGAGCCATACTTCCTCGTAAATCTTTCTGTAAACTCGTAATGACTGAAATATTTACTCTTAGTAGTAACGTACACATGAGTTATATCAGCACCCGAACTCTAGAGTTAGGATAGGGATACATGTGATGCTCAGTCTCAACATCACCGTACTATAAATACTTCAAATCCCTCGCTGGAATATACATATGAATGGCGATTGAAATACCATGCATGACAATAGATCTTCCTACCTAATATTTTTCTTCTTCGCTGCAGTAATGTATTGTATCATTTACACTCGTACCTGCTGACACTCAAATACGTCTTCCCAGGAATGGCAAGACGAGATATGTTAATATCAGAACGATAGCTACTAATGTTACAGCATCCTCTCCGAAACAAATCTAAAATTCATTTACGATAGAAAGAGAGAATGATTGTCGTCTTGTAGCATTGAGGAGATGATTTCGACGCTATATAGGTGATTGATCTCTGAATTATCGAATTATACACCCTATGTTCTCTTCTGATTTCGACATGGGCATGCATAAAACGGATTACTTTAGTTATTGTTGAGCCTTGTGTGATTTAAAATGTGTAGATTGTGTTGAATAGGAGTAATTAATACTCTCGATATTAGGAAGTGATTGATCTGATGGTTATTCAATGTCTGCAAAAGATGTATACAATGAATGTCCAAAGTCCGCAATTGACCCAGTAGATGAAAGCTCGATATCAGAACCCAGAGTTCCTCTTATCTTACCTATAGTGATGTTCTAGACATAATCTACCCCTCTCGATTTCCTCTCCTTCCTCTCTAATACCCCTCTCTCCTACTCCAACCACTCCCCTCGACTAAATTCGGCTTCCGATATCCACTCCAAATAGTTGCATTAGGAACCAATTCAAATCCACCAATATTCGCTCCTTCACTATCCAAAGACCAAAGCGTTAATGCTACCGTGTTTATGCCCTGGTGATTAAGGATTCCTTCAGGAATCGGGAAGCACGTTTGCGGGCCTAGGTTATTTACTATAGGTGGGGGTTAGAATGATGACATGAAAGGCGGGGGAAAAGAGATGTGGAAGCGAAAAGTGGGAGGAGAAGACAAATATGAAAGGAAACAGGGGGATATCAGGAAGATGCATACCATATTTTCCAAATTGCCACCCGTTAACAAAAAGCTGAGCTCTAGAATTACCAGCCGTTCCTGTCCGGTTAAAAACGAATCCAAGCGGTACATCCCACCCTTCTGGTATACTCAATTCGAACCTCGTAGTAAAGAACCCCACTCCAGCGCTGTCAATTCCGTCGCTGACTGGATTCCTTACTTCCCACGCTTCACTTGGCGGATTTGGTAGATGGTATCCTTGTCTCTCTGCGAACATCGCTCCTTCATTTCGAGGACCTCGTGTTTTATCAATGAACTGTTCTCCACCTAGATTTCCAGTCATTTTCCAGGTAACGTCGGTTTGAGGATGTGAAGAGAGAGAGTAATCGAGGAATCCACGTGGAAATTTTATAGCGTCAGTTCCCGGGGCTTCTTCATCTTGGCCCATGTGATCTATTAATACTGTGAAGACATGGGAACTTCCAGACTTCAGGGAAGGAAGTGAGAATGTTTGAGCATATGTCTGGTTTCCACCACTGCCAACCCAAGAGCCTAGAAATGTAGAATTAAGCCAGATGGAATGAGCAAATCCGGCGCCACCCGTTGTGTTAATAAAAAACGTAGTTTCATTGCCGGTGGAGAGAAAATGACCACGATAGATGAGGGAACCGGTGTGATAACCGTAGTCACTGGCGTACATTGAGGTAGGGGTTGTGAGATTCAGGGTGTTGTTTGTGGTTACGTGGTCTAATGGTGTCCAGAGAGAATCATTGTAGTGAGGTTGAAGTTCGGGGAGGGAATCGATGTAGTGCCATTGTTGGGTTGTGAAATTGGGAAGATCAATCGATGGAGGAGAATATGATATGTGAGCTTGGAGATTTCCGTTCTTTGACTTTTCGCTATGGAGTAGCTTGCCATTGAGAAGAAGTGAAGTTACTTCAGTAGGTGTGGAGATAACTTCAAAGTTAGTCGTGGCGTTGATGTCCCCCGTAAGTTTAAGTTGTTTGCCTTCAATACTAGCTGTTCGTAAGAGGTAGCCACCATTGACGATGATCGATGATTTTGATGGAGATGTATGATTACCGATTGGTGCCGGTGCTTCCAGCTCCAAAGACCAATAATTATATGCTTCATTTCGCCATAATAAATAAACCCTTAACTTTCCGATTTGGACAACTTGTCTCTCTTGATTTACAGTCCATTGAAGTACCCAAGCCCCACCAAGTTTTCGAATATCAACCCCATGTCCTTCTAGAACGTCAGGAACACCAAGAGAGACTGGGAAGGCAGCTTCACTATTATCTCTATTTCCACCATAGAGAATCAGAACTCTTCTATCATTGTGATTCTTGGACCATGAGAAAACCTCGGCTGACGAATAGATCATGTTGATTCCCCCTATATCGTAATCTGTGACGTGTATCTTAGAATCTCGACCATTCATTACCAATGAACTACCAAGCTGAGGTATTGTAATGTTGCCATGAGATGTAGTAACTGTAAATTTATACAATGTCCTTGCGAGAGACGTGAAATCTGCATGCCGGACCACGTAAAAGTTGGATCTAGTGCCGTTTTGCCCCTTATTAATAGCGCCAAACAATGGAGTTACAGCAATTTCAGCCGGAACACCAAAAGTACCATTTTCACCATGTCCAGCCGTAGCTGTCAAGTAAGCAGCAGACGCTTTCAGAAAGTTTGCTTCCAGTTTCATTTCACTGTACTTTTCGCGCCAGACCTGACGATCTTCGGTTATTGATGCTCCATAATCATAGGAGGTGTATCCCCCATGATACCCAAGATTTCCCCAGTTGGTACCACCGTATATCTTTCAAAATTTGGTTAATCAAAGCGGAGAGCTCAATAGGAAGCTACGGATCTTACCATGTAGACATTGAATATTGCAACTCCAAAGCTGTAAGTATTCTTAAATTGCACCTTGATCGCATCATTGTTGGTGAGAATTGCGCATCGATCTTCTCCAACGCCGCCCCTAAGTTATACATTAGCGATCAATACGTTGAGTATTTTTGCAGAACCTACCATCCATCTCCGCCTCCACCCTGGAATTCACCAATTGTAAAGGGTGTCGATGGACTATAATTCGCATGACTGATGTCCCAAGTCTTCGGAAATCTATAAGTTGGCCAAATGTATGGATCACCACAATCATAACGCATAGGATAAGCATCAATCCCATAAAGATCTACCTCTGCGAGCCCACTCCTTGGTGCAAAATTCCCAATATTCAAATTATCATTCACAACAAACGGAACCACAATACCCGCATCCAGGAGCTGTTGCTCCACAAATGCCATGTAATCTTTATTCATTTGACTTGGAAAGTTAGTAACACCAGGCCATGACGCGTATTCATTCTCAGGTTGGACCATGATAACCGGGCCGCCATTTGTGATTTGTGCTTTAGCTATAATTTTGCCAATCGTAGAAGCATATTTTTGAGTGGAATCAAGATAATCTTGATCAGTTGATCTTATGACTCCTTTTATTCTCAGTACCCAGCCTGGTATCCCCCCAGCTGCCGTTTCTGCATTGATGTATGGACCAGGACGAGCAATCAAGTAGATTCCGGCTTGCGTGGCAGCATCGAAAAACTCATCAAGGCTGAATATCCCATCTGTTATCACTTGCCCAGGGTTGCCTTCAAGTAATCCCCAGTATGTATAGAAAGATACACCAGTGAAGCCCATGGCTTTGATTTTTTGAAAAACATCGAGCCATAATCCTGGAGATGGAATACGGAATGGATGGACTTCACCGGAATAGATCATAATACGTTCACCACGAATGATAATTGAGTGTTCATCCCAAGACACCTATGAGCATATTACGGATTAAAATTCTTACTTTGGAATTTGCAGTGCAGACTACTGACCAAATCTTGTAGAACTTCTCTTTTGTGCACCTTGATACGTGCATTTTGAATGCTTCCGACTTTTAGAGCAAATATACCTTGTATCCACCACACAGAAATAAGAAATAAATTGAAGTATATCAACATAATGAAGTATTGGTGGTGTGTACTTCAAATGACCACGTAACAAATATACAAGCAATGAAACGTTCCCACAAAGTAGTACCGTTGTATCCTTATACTTATCTTTTTGAATTCGCGTTGCGTGTTCATTGAAGACGTAATTCCGCAGAATTCTCCAATACATGATGGGTGAATTTGTCCAACTGTTGAGGCAGAGTGTAGAGTGGGACGGATGTATAGCCTGAATGCATACTCCGCACCGGCAATGGCATTCACGTATGATCTGCAGACTTTATGCAGCATAACTATCAAGATATCTTTGAGCTTCAGTAATAAAGACAAGGATATATTCAGTGATTCCTAGAGGTTTGGATACGATGATAGTTGTAGACATTTCCGAAGTATGGTGCTACAAAATCTAATCATGAGGTTGCGGAAGAGGAGTACAACCACACATTGTTTACCCGAATATATGCCGGGGAAAACAGACATATATTTACATGCACCAATAGAGTGATTTCTGGTGAGGCTTAGCCTACCTAGGTCCACTCTCTACTCCACCACAAAGGAAACATTGACACCAAAAATTGAGTCAATAGAGCACAAATCACAATAGCAATATATTTCATTTTATTATTCGGAGTCATAACAAAACAAATAATCTGGTGTTGTGGTTTAGTGGTATAATTCTTGCTTAGGGATATATCAGTCTTCATCGACTGGTTCTCCATGTAAGAGGTCCCCGGTTCAATCCCGGGCAACGCCCATTTGTGATGTTTGTTTTGCCTTTTCTTTTGTCATCTTTGTTTTTCCATAGAGGGGGAGAGACATAGTAGTTCGTAGATAGACAGTGGATATACGAAGAAGAGACACTCAACAACTGACTGTTAACACAGGACCAATAGAAGCTTGTTTTGAACGGATATATTCCAGAAATTAGACAAGTTTACTCAAGAAATCGCAACTATCTATATTTACCCGATTTTGACACATGTCAAGGACTTTTTTGCTTTTTGATATGGCAGCAGTAATTTTAAAGGCAAGACAGACCAGACCTCCCGTTAAGTGACATGAACCTCCATTAACCCCTTAAAAAATTGACAAAAGCAAAATAACCCGCCATCATTCTCTCAATTGACTCATTAAATTCCAAGGGCATCAAACACACCCGGGTAGATCTTGAAATCTCCTACCCACTTATAATTCGAAAAAGTACCCAAAGCATCAGGGGCAGCAACCTCGATTGACTCCGTTGTCACCACCGCACCAGCCAGGGTACTAATGTCAATCTCAGTGCCGCCTTTTTGAGCCTTCCACTCTAGATTAGCAGTCAAATAATTAATGATAGTATCTTCATTAAGATCTGGTAGTACACCTTCATCATGCTTCTTGATAAGAGCGTCGGTGAGATGCACATTGCTTGAAGCAATAACATCATTGGGTGCCATGCTCTGTGTACCAAGTGTAGCATGCATGCCAACGTATGCCGGATCTTTCGCCCACTCATCAGGTCTGGCAGAGCTCTTGCCGAGGAATACTCCGACACTGTAAGTACCGTTGAGAGCTGTCCACGGTAAATCAATCTTCACTAGGTAGTCGCGTGGAAGTGAGGTTGTGGTGGCTGCTTGTCGTTTCTTGAAGCTGGTCGGGGACTGGCATAAATTGCAGCAATGTTTTGTTGGAGAGTGGTGTTGTCTGGATGATTGATTATCTCAGGGTAGGAATAGCCAAGTCTTTCGACGTTGCGCACATCAGCGGAGGAGAAGAAGTTGCCACTCGTATCTCGATGGAATGGAGTCAAAGCTTCGTTGTATTAGTATGCGAATACTGCGATGAAATTATTCAGGGGACTTACGAGAGTTTTGATCTTGAGTAGAACCCGCTTGGATGGTGAATGTGCCTGCTCTCTGTTGTGTTGGTTCGACATATGTATCGGGATATACAGCTTGCCAAAGAGCGATTAATCTGTCGATATTTGCATGGTGAAACCAGAATATTGGATCAAATGCAGCGACTGGAACGATGGACCTGTGTGATAAACCTCAGTCAGTATTACTCCTGAAATCATTTTCCTCACAGCGCTATATGGAGAGAAGGAAAATTCTAAGATTGCTAAAAAGAACAAGATGTTCTGGGAATACAACTAACATGTGACCATAGTAGATGAAGCCTCCGGTCAACGTGTGAACAGTATCGTGAATCGATTCTATCGACTAATTAGTAACCATTTCCATTTGGAATTCCACCATACGCTGAACTTACCAACGTTGCCGAGGCCAGAGCTACCAGATCCCTTGTTGCTAAATCGGTTATATGGCTGCAATGAATTATTAGCATTGATAAACTAAAGGTGAACATGTTCATGGTTTCACAAAGTAGATTTCGGGCGAACTTACTTGCCAATTTGCAAAGAGAGTCATGATTTGTGTTCTGAAATTCGGTAAGTTGGCTTCGAATTGCTCTTCCGCGAGGTTGTTTTGACTTGTGGCATTGGCATTGTTTGATGTTGGCCACCGAAGTGTATTGTTCCATATGTTGAATGGAGCAGAATTCTATTTGAATCAATAAAGTACCATTTTATGAGCGAGTTCTTACTTACTTGAAGATCGCTTGGTATTAAGGGATGAAAGCTATAGGAGTACAATGGATTGGGTACTGTTGCCGTACTACCATTGGGATAAGTAACAAAAGCAGTTGGGTTGCTCAAGACATTGGGGAGGATGGGCCCATTATTGGCAGGATTGGCAGCCCAGTCCCAATATGGCATTCTGAGAGCCAAAGATGCCTGTTGATATGCTTCTGAGTTACTACCCTTGAATTGTTGCGCAATTTTGACACCCCAGGCATGTACCTGTTGCTCGTGTAATGCAAGGTAGGGTCTATGCCAAGGACCAAAAAGATTAGATCCATGAGTACAATACCCACTGGTTCCAGCTCCTACAGCCTGGACTCCGTCCCAGGGCTTTAAGGGGTACCCGTGAATACCTGAGATTCATCAGTCTGAAGGCAATTCATCACTAGAGTAGTTTTATCGTAGCGTACCTGCAATTTGGTAGAAAGACGACAATTCATTTTGATCGCTACCTTGATATGCTATCATGGCTAACAAAAACAAGTTCCATTGAGTGGAATCAGCGGCGAGTGATCGAATCTCAAGACGGGGCTGTAAACCTCCATCCTGAACACCTGTGATAGCAAGTGTACCTGCTCGAGACTTCAAATGCTCGGGTTTAGATAGCGGGGAAGCTATGACAGAGCTGAGTAATAATGATAAGGCCCCGAGCCTTCTGATGAGACTTGGTCCCATGTTGAGCTTTAAAGAATGTGTATATTGTGTCACTAGAAATTGTAGTCCCTAACAATATGCTAGAGTCTAAGGAAGTGGCCTGGTAATGAGAATGAATGCAGAGTAGAGTTGACTAGGAAGGTTATGATGAGCTTAAGATACTCTTATATGTTGTTAAAGTACGGATCAATAAGCGAATTATTGTTGAAGCAAAAACACGAAGTAATCGCCAATCATCTCCTGTTGTATACAGAAGATCCTCGCAATGCCTTTTCTGTGCCTCAATAAACGCATGGCGCCGTAGACTCAGCCTCGTATAAATGTAAGACCTATGTGTAATAGCCTCGACAAAAGACGAGGATCAACTAATGCCATCAAGGAGAGCAGGCTTGAACGCAACATCAGGCAATGAACGCATGGAATGGCGGCTCCTTGGCCAGAACCACTTCCATGCGCTGATTCTGGCATTTGCGGTATTTTTGATCAAGCCCTATATGAATGATTTTCCCAACCTGCAGCTTTACAGCACACGAGAAGCTATTCTTGTAATGAATGTCTTCCACAAACCTGGCAACCATGTGGCTTCAACGCCCTAGCTTATACGATCACGACACCGAGGTCGCACTAAACGTTCAAATCTATTGATTGGCGCGTGGTTTACATCAATGGAGTGACTGGCATAATCTTGGCACAGCTGATGTCAGGAACGCTGTCAAAATGTGGTAGACGAGCCGTCTTCTCATTGGTATCTTCGCAATTTCATCCCATCTCTAGCATCTTTTGAGCTGAATATGTACAAGAATTCGACCTTATGCATACTCGAGCTGCAATTCGAAGGATTCTCCATGATCAAGAACAAGGAATTCTGGAACCTATCCGAAATGGAACGTTTCTCAATGTAATAGAATGGCCCATTGAGTAAGAATGCCGAGGTTTAGGGAAACCAAACCACCCGTATAAACGTTTCTTGACAAATCGGATGTCATGCATGCTTCCCATCTCTTGGGTTTCTGCAGAAAAAGTAATTCAATCGGGTAAGACTACGCCCATATATTATCGGAACACAGGCCGAGAAGTCTGGGCATCAGGTATGAGAATCCTGCATTAAACCTTTCGTATAATGGAATATGATTCCCTCTTCCCCAGATGACCATTTCTCATGTCATACCGCCCCGAAATTTCGAGGCATATCATCATAATGCAACGAAAAGCAGGAGATGGTTGTCATAAACTATCTTTCCTACGCTCATTCTCGGATATTGTAAGACTAGTCAAATGTCACACCCGAAACCAGTTCCTTGGCGTTGGTCGGAGAAATTTCGAAATCTTACTCCGATGTTGAACAAGCAACCTCTTCTTCCTTTATCCAATATTGACACCTCGAATAAACGATCAATTATCTGGACTTCCAAATGTCTAGATTTCCTCTTTCTCTTCATCAGACACCCCTGGCAGAAGGTTTGATTTACATACAATTCGTCGATCAAATTGAAAATTAGAAAGTACCCTGGCGTGTTTCTTATGGTCGAGGATAAGGGGTCTTGTTGTATTTGACATATCCAGATCGAAACAGTACCGGATCTGATATTGGTTAATTGGTGTCAAAGTATGGACCTTGAAATGCTTTATGGTATTTAAAATCTTGAGCTTGAATCGGTAGTCTTGGCAAAGAAATCTAAAATCGGTCCGCAGTAAGTGACGGATTAAGGAACAGTTGGTGTGATATCCAGAATAAGAGTGAGGAACATCAAGGGGAGATCATCTGATTTGGGACTCGATTGAAGCACATCTATCAAACTATTCGTCTATTTTCTCTTCCATGTACCACACTTTACGGATACGGATACGATACGCATCTAATCAATAGATCACAGAAGCATCCTGTTGTGTACTTATCTAGGATCCAGGTATGCATGAAGCATCAAACAAGCGTGTCTCAATGGTGTGCACCACCACCAACGACACAACACACCACCTATGCATAATGACCTCGTTCGCAGTATATGCAAAGCAGTCATGCTAAGTTATGGGTATTGGATTGGAGGCTGTTGTGATTATGGCCACATTGACCGTCCTGAATAAGATACAGTTGTTTTCCTTTTATCAAACACTATTTTCAGGTAACGAGATAACAGGTACCAAGGAAAAAGCGATGCAAGTCAGCATCGAAATCTACATTTCTAATGACTTTGTTGTCACATCACTCACAAGGTCAAGCATGGGATATAACAATCTTTAGTTGAAGTTGTTGAGGCTGTTGATCTTTGAAAACAGACATTGCGATGATTCATAATGCCAGTGATTATCATCTTCTCAGCGGTATACTCTCAAATGACAAGATGATAAGTACGTCTCCATCATGGCTGAAGGATTTGCATAAAGAATCTAAAAAAAAACAATGGATACATTTGTCAAACATTACATACAGAGTACTGCCTGAAACTCTTGAAAAATACGGTATCTAGAACGAAAAATTGTTGCCATAATTAAACCAGAATAATTTTTTCTGGTTTAAAAGCACCTGGTGGTTTTGGGTGATAGTTCACGGGGTTCCCACTAGCATTTCCCCTTTGATTAGATTCAAACCTCATTCCACCATGCCTAGTTTTCCCGTAACGCGGCTCATTCCAATGTGTATGGCCCCAAATCCAAACGTCTCTCCAGTCCAAAAGAGGCATTGTAGTTTGAATCGAACTATGATCATAGCCATGTCCCTTGCAGCCATCAATTACATCACTGCCATGGCCATCTCCACTACTGAAGTCACGAAGCTTCTTTGCGGTCTGTTCAGGAGGCGAAGTTCCGCTCTTAGAAGGTGGCATGTGCGTTATAATAAGTATGCGCGTTTCAACTTCATAGGGATCTTCTCTAATTTTCTTCGTTTCCTTCCTGATCCATTCGCAAGATGCGTGATGCCTCGCAGTTCTTTGCTGGTTATTTTGATCCCTCGGCTCACGACCTCCAGATCTCCGCCTTTCAGTCCACAACGTACAGCCCAGTATCACAACCTTGCCTCCATTCTCCTCAATGACAAAGCGATCGTTTTCCATGAACACCAGTTTTCCTAATGTATCCGGATGTCTTGCAAAGCCTCTAAGCATTTCTATTGTCCCTTCCACCGTATTACTATTGGATGGCCAGAAGTCTCTATTTCCAGCGACGAGAAAAACTCGTTTGAGTTCTGCTTTGGCGCACATTCTAACTAGAAATTCCCGATATTGAGTCTCACTTTGTTTACCAGTATTCCCTATGTCGCCGGCGAGGATCAAGTACGGAGCACGCGGCTTGAAGTCAAAATTCAAATAGCTCGTCTGCTCCAGATGTAAATCAGAAACGTAGTGAAACGGAACATTTTGCTTGACTGTGGGAGGAAGAACGATGAGATCATTTGGCGGACCAAAAGCCTTCCGTACTTCAGCAGCCGCGGCTGCATCGCTGGAAGGAGTGATAAGACCATGTATCAAACCCCCTATCTTATCTGTCAACCCTCCAAATAGTCCCCCACCCGGTGTAGCCGGGGCCGCTGGAGTAGATACTGTTGGCCTGGATGTTTGAGGAGGTCTAGGGGCGGTTGCGAATGGATTGATGGCGACCGGTGCAGTTGTAGTTTTAGTATCTACTTGACTCGATGAACCCGTGATCAACCCAGTTCTCAGATTTTTGATATAATCTGCAACTACTTGCTCATCCTGAATTGGAAAATTTCCTGTTGCAGTATTCCCAGATGTGGATCCGACTGGTGGGGGTTTTGATGCTGGATTGGGTGAGGCTCGGAGTGCCGCCAATATACTTTCGAAAGTTATAGCCCCAGTGGTTTTGATTCCTATGCCCGAAGTCAATTTTGAGATATTGGGCAGAGGCGCTGCCGGAACTGAGGTAGTTCCAGACAGTGGAGCTGGTGAGCTTGTATTAGATGGAGACGGTTTCACTCCTTGGCCGAACAGCTGGGCGTATTTCATTGATTGGCGGGCCCTTTGAATTATAGCCTCTCGTCCTTCCTTTGTAGTCCTTTCGATCCTGGCTCTATCAAATTCTTCTTGAGAGGGTTTTACATAAGGTAAAATTCTGTCGCCATAGTATCTATTCTTCATGTTTTGGAAAAACCAATAAGGATGACCGGTATCTCCGGATAGACAGTCTTTATAAGCTGGATCTCTCACGAATTGTCTGTAGAAATCATCATAAAATACAGGCAGATTTAATACTTCGAATGATTTCAGAAGCTCATCAGCACTGATACTGACATCGCCTTGCCTTTCACGGGCAAGTGCCATTGCCCAATCAGTGTTTCCCGCCTCCCATGGTATCCAAAAGTCTATATTGGGCGGTATCAAGGAGTGAGGTAATCCACTGGAGTCTGGTCTTGTCGAAACCGAAGAAGTTATACCTGAAGTCACAGGCGGCGCGGATATTATCCCTATTGCTCCTCCTGTGCCTGACCTTGGTGGCGCAGATGTGATTCCTATTCCTCCTCCTGCTCCTCTGCCTGGTCCTGGGGTCCTGGTGGTGCAGGTGGTATGCCTCTTCCAGCACCTGGACCTGGGGTTCCTGAGGGCTCTGGTCGACCAGTTGCTGTCCCTCTTCCTCCTCCTCCTCCACCTGGACCTGGAGGACCTGGAGGACCGGATGGACCTCCCGACGGACCTCCTAGTGGCGGGTGCTGAGGCGGCTTCCTCTTATCCGTCCACAACGAAAGGGGTGTCGGTCTCAGTCTCGAAAGAGGCTCCAATTGCCTCCTCCCAATCTCTCCATCACCAGTAAAAGCTTTTCCCTTTCCCCTATATTTTTGTGCACTTTGACGATTACGGTTATAATCTAGCACGAATCCCTCATTCGATTCATATCTTTTAACTCTTTTGGGTCTACCTTGATTGACTATCTCTTGTCCTGCTTCTGGCAATTCATCTATCCTGACAGCGGCAGTAAGTTCCCAAGGTCGCGTTTTGCGCTTGTCAGGATTGACTCTTTTGGGAAACATGGTGATGATATTGATGATGATGGTGAAGATGAAAAGTAGTATTGCACTAGTTCCGACGGCAGCGGCGAGAGTTCGGATTCCTCGTAGAATGTCGAGTTCAACTGGCATTTATATGATATTAATGAGTTGAGTCGACATACTTTGGTGATGGATTTCAAACAAGGAACATTTTATTATTTGGAGCTCTTTATGAATTATTTTCTTTTTGAGTTTGACGAGTTTTGCCGGAACAGGTATAGGTGTTCTTTATTGAATGTAAGTCAAAATTTTGTGATGGATTGGGATGGGATGATTGCTATATTCTTTGTCAGAGTAGACAAGCAATTGACACGAAGGAAAATATCGAGCGTCTCTTTCATATGCCAAGAAAAAGCTGCGTCTGCTGGTATACTAGGAGTCAATTGACTTGAAGATGCATATCTCAATGTAATGACATTGGGGATTGCCAGTCAGCAATTGTCATTCGTAATCTTCACGCCAAGTGCATTTCCTCAACAACTCTTTATCTGCAACTAACAGTGTTCACCAATCCGTCATGAGTTTCGCGAATTATATGCACTTTGTCTCCCCTTTCTATCAAACAGTCTAAGCAAGAAGGACGATAGTCCTAGTTTCTTTCTGCCCAGGACAAATACTCATAGATAATAATCACCCGAATATTCAGTGCCAAAGCCCAAGATATATTTGAGCAATATAATAATCTTAGCATCCCCGATGAAAACTCCTAATTGACAATGAGATATTACACTCCCACATCAATAATGAAAACCAAAAACTCCATAATCACAACAAGGAAACAACAAGGAAACACAACTTAATTTTCCCTAATTTCCCAACTCTCGAGAGCGTTTCTCACAAACTATCGATTCCCAATCTCCTATTGCTCTAACAACACAAATAATCACCAAACTATACCTAATCATCTCGCTAGCACGCCCACCAACTCCCTCTTCACCCGTAGCGAAAATCTCTTTCTTTTCCAAGATTTCCTTACTCTAACTATAAAAGAAATGAAATTTCTAAGAGGAGTAAGGGAAAGTGCAACAAAAAGAAACAAATTATCCAGAACAAGAAGGTATGTAGGTGTCTCGGTGGCAGGTATGAGATAGAGAATTTCTGTATTCGTTTTAGAATAGAGGATCGAGGTCGAGGAAATACTTCGTGGATATTGTGAAGTTTTGCCGTGGACAGGCAAATGCTGGGAAATTGATAGTGGATTGTTGCTGTTGTGATATTATATTAATATCATTGACAGGTGGTTACAGAGAAAGGAGATTTCCATAACAAAAATAGTATGTATCTCCAAGTCCAGCGAACGACAACAAGAAATCGCTTTTCTCGCACTCCGAGAACCTTACCGTTGACTAAGTTTGCAAAGGCATTTCTCTCCCCATAATTGAAAACGTTATAGCAGGAATATTATTACGCTCGTCTTACAATGAAACTCTCAAATGTGGGGTTTTATGTACTTCTCTATCCAAGCCCATTCATTGAACTTATCCCTATACTGCCATTTCTCATTCTATAAAATTCGTGAATGCTATTCATAGACATCTACCAATATATAGTTGAGACTCCTTTCCCTCCTCGTTGATACTAATCAGTGAATACATTCACATAATAGGTAATAACAGCATAGCATAGCATAGGTAACCACTGGATCCATAATACCAATTTAAACAACCTCTTATACAATCAAGTTTCTAGCATGATTTCAGAAGTTAATATTTCCATCTCAATCTAAACCTCTATTCCCATCCGTAACAATACTACCCCACGAATCCAAGTCCCCACAACAAAGCCAAATATTAAGAGCCATATCTCGCCAATTTTTCAACTTCAGATCAGATCAGATCGGACAATATCTCAAAGTCCGAGTAGACGAAACGGCCGCGTCAGCGTCTAATTTACAATATCAACTCACAATTAACATCGGTACCGACTGAATATTATTATTACTATACGCAAGAAAAATAAGATAGGAGGATAAACTTTGACATTTGTTTCCGCCGCAACTTCGGGGAGGTAGGAAGATCCAGACCTTGAAGCTGCAGTGGATCATGATCGCTCGATGAACTTGCGTCAGCTTTCTCGGTACACAGCTCTTAGCGCAGAAAGGGGGGTCCGGCACTTATACATAGATAGATACATAAATTAGTATTTCCCTACTCGCGTACCTAGGCAGATTCAATAATTCGATTTCCATTGCTTGCACCCCAAAACTAGCTTCGTGAAACATCCTGGCCAGGAAAACCAAGCAGTAAACCAAAATGCGATTCTCTACTCTCAGTGTAGCGACAATCAGTGTGGCTCTCGCAAGCGCTCAAACACCAGCTGATAGCTGGCCAATCACATCTCGTAACATTGGGTGCGCTTTCGGAAATGTAACTGTCACGCCTGGAAAATGGATAAGTCCTTCTGGTACGCTCCCTGCACCCACTCCGTCCCGTCCATCCCATCCCTAAACAAAACAACCCCCTCACACACCCCACAGACGTAACCACCCAACCCTCCATCTACCGCACCACCTCCATCCCTAACGCCAACACAAACACAACCTACATGCTCCTAATGCTCGACCTCTCGATCCCCTCCTCCGATGTAACCACCCCTCGCAATACTCCACCCTCATCCCCGGTCTCGCCCCCAACACCACCACGCGCCTCCACTGGTGGCAAGGAAACTACACCATCGCATCTCCCTCTTCCTCTCCGCAAACCCCAAACACAATCTTCTTCAACACCTCCGACAGCATCGCAGCGTACACCGCGCCGCGCCCGCGCGACGCCACAAACCATACCTACGCATTTTATCTCTTCACACAGCCGAAGAATTATTTTCCAGGGGAGGAAGCGGCGAATGGAACGTATTATGATGAGACGACGGAGGCGAGATTTAATTTTTCGCTAAAGGGGGTGGTGGAGAAGGTGGGGGAGCCAGTGGCGGCGAATTGGTTTGTGAGTAGTGCGTGATGTGGTGATGGAGTGTGGGGGATGATGGTGCCTACCTAGGTGAAAGTCTTTTGATGACAGTTATACACGGAGAGCTTTCTGGATACTGTTTGATCTCCGGATTTGTCGCACTGTTTGAAGAGAGATGTTTGTACCAAAAATCATTTTATATTTCATACTCAGGTATAGTGCTACCCCTTCAATTTCGTAATTTCGTAATCCCATAATCCCATAACGTGATATGAAACTATTAATACACTCATACACCGATAAACTTATGGACTCTTTCGTATACTATTCCATCCCTATCTTTTTCAATCGCACACAATTCTTTTCATTTATTAATTACCCTTCTAAGCATTCTCTCCACCATTCTTTGGCACACTAACGACAACGGGCACAACCACACTATTAAGATTTCGAAGTGCCTACAGATCCCACCATTAGCAACATACACTTTGCTCCTACCCACCCATCAATCAAAAGAAAAAGATAAACTCACCTTAACGAAAAAGCCCTCACTAGGCACATTCCCATTCCACGCATCCTGAACCTTTGTAATCTTTCCCTCTCCACCCTGTTCTTCCGTCCAAATACTCACCTTGCTCTCGACAGTCTGCGCCATACCCCCCTTCAGAACATATTTCGTCTTCAGATCCATCTCGATTGGATTCCCCGCACTCGTGACCTCATGTCCTAGACGTTCTATATTGGTACAAACAGCTTTTAATCCAAACCATTGAGCAGAATATTGCTTGCGTCCTTCGGCATTGGTAATTTGATCGGCGAAGACGGCGTTGTCAGACCAGAGAGATAGTTTTTCGAGGGAGGGGAGACCTGCGAAGAGCTTGCGGGAAGTCAGTTCCTTGGTTTGAGTGCAATGAGGGGGAAGGAGGGAAGGGAAAGGGACTAAAAGGAAGGGAAAGGAGAAAGCCAAGAAGCAAAAGCCATAAACAATACAAGAAAAGGAACAAAAAGAAACTCATACATCCAAAACACTTCCCACAACCACCTTCTGTTTCTGATTCAGTTCCACCCCGGGAGCCGTGTGAACATTCGTATTTTCAATTCCCAACTCACTGAATCCCTCTGTGCCAACACTTCCAGAAGTTGCATGTGCAGAGCCCGAAGTCGTACTATACAATCTACTTCCCGTTCCCAAATCGTTTGAGCCTTTACGGGCGTTATCGGCACTGGGGATTCCCGACGACATATTGAGGTTGGTATGTGTAGTGTGAGAGATTGCTCTTGCTCTCGCTGTCGATGTATTGAAAGAAGATGTGGCAAAGTACGAAATGGGTGTAGTAACTTTACTTCCAAAAGTAATCTTTCTCGCAGAAGTAGATGTAGACGTAAAAGTTATATTTCGCAGAGACCTTGAGAGTGAGGAACGCATTAAGTACTTGAGCGTGATGATGAATTGAGCAGGGACGTTGATGAAGGGATAGATAGAAACTATGAGATTGAGAAAGAAATGTAGAATGTTTATACCTGCCTTGTCTATTTTATATGTATAAATCACGTACTACTTAGTACCTAGTATTTACAGCCCCAAATTATGATGTAAGGTAAGGAACGTATTCTCCGGGGCCATTACCCATCTACCTATCTAGATGCTCGTAAATCGATACGAGTCTTGACATCATTGATGTTTAAATCTGGAAGGGGTATGGTGAGTGTATTACCCCACATGATTTCTCCAAAGCTCCCATCATTAGTGTCTGATTAGACATCAACCTCCGTGATATTAAACTACGGACCTCTTCCAGATATTACCTGGTAAATACTTGGGTATCACAATGGCTACGCAGCAGAAAGGAAAAGGGAAGATCGAAAACAGAACGTGCAAATCGAAATGTGTAAAAGATTACAAAACAAACAGCTTTTTAGTTTGAAAAATCAATTGTAATAATGCTATGCTTGCTATCATCTCTATCAATCATGGGTATTTTCCCCATGTATCATCAATAACGTCTCAACTCCATTTTTGGTATTCGTATGCGTTGCATATTCGTGATTCATAATTATCCCTTCACTCGCAATTGTCCTCCCTTGGTCACCATAAAGACCTAACCTTTAATGCTTCCCTCAAGCTTGCACAAGGAAGCTACCTTACTTGCAAGATCATCAGCTTCACTTCTTGTGGCAGCTTCGGCATATACTCTCAAAGCATCTTCCGTACCACTTGCTCTTGCGAAACTTCTACCATCCTTGAATTTGGCGACAAGTGCATCGATTTGTTGTTGTGTACCTTGTGGCTCTACGAGTTTTCTCTCGGCATCGGTTGTCTTGAAAACGTTTCTATCGGCAACTTCAACTCGGACAAGACGATTGGGTAGGTCAATATAGGTAGAGTCCCATTCCTTTGGTGTCCAAGACTTGTGGGCCAGGATTGTCTCAACCAGTAACATATCAGAGAGTGCATCTCCAACAGTTTGATTGATCAGATCGGTGAGAGCACGGAGGGTTTCCAAGGCGTTGGCCTGAGCAGGAGATTCTGGGGTCGTACTAGCAAATACTTTCAAAGCTTGTTGGGAGAAGACTACAGTGCCGTGGCCATTTGCTTCGAAGTAAACACCAACATCGAATTTTGTAGCTGCATGATGTAACCATTTGACACCAGTGGGAGTACAAACGACAGGAAGCTTCAAGGTCTTCTCAACATACTTTGTACTAGCACCATTGGCGTAAGCAGTTTGTACAACACCGATTCTCAATTCATCCGCCAATCCAGCTTCTCTAGCAAGATCACCAATGAATGAAGCTGCGAGTGTAGCAATTCTATCACCATCCAATAGACGGAAACCATGGTCAGAATCATTAAAATAGTAAATGATTCTGTCAGCATCTCCATCTAATGAGCAGCATCGATCATTGTTTCCAGCTTTCGATGAAGGGGGAGCTCGTTGCTTGGTCTTGACATAATCGGCACCGCACTATGAAAGAAAAACATTAGTCATTGAAATCAAACAACATGGAATTTACTGACCTCGTGATTTAAGCTCTCTGCTTTCAAAACATCATCGTTGAGTACTTTGATGTCGAGAATTCCCTTTGGTAGATACTTGATCAACTCAGCCAATTTAGGACCTCCAACACCGTTGGCACAATCGACGGTGACTGAACCAGTAGCCTTCTTTCCCTTCATAGCTCTCTCAAAAGCCTTTGCCAACTTCTCATAGTATCCAACCTCACTAACATCTCCATAAGCTTGTGGTGTACCCTCAGTGTTCGTGCATCTAGTCAAATAATGCAATTGCGGCGTGGTAAGCAACTTGTAATCTGTATAATCCGTTCCCGTCGCCTCAAGAGCAGCGATGAGAGCCGCCACCAATTTTGGCCCCGAAGGTCTAGTATCTCTGGCATAAATAACTCTCGCAGGAGTTTCCGGGTTGATTTTCAAATCCTTCTCCAACTTGCGGTAAACATTCACCACATCCTCATTCTTCGCATTGGCCAACTGTGTACTGTATGCCTCCCAACTGTTCTCCAACATCTCTCCCATCGGATCAACTAACTTTACACCGTTATCCTCAGGTGGGTTGTGCGACGCCGTAATCATAACTCCGATAGTTTGACCACCCAATTTGCGCGATCGAAGAGCAGCGACGAGACCAACGCGAAAGACGACGGAATCGAGAAGGTTAGCCTTCATACGAAAGCCCGCAGTTCCATACTGGAAAACCCGATCGGCAGGTTTGGGGTGCTTGTTTGAAGCTTCGAGAATTTTGGAATCCATATTGTCTGACTTGATGAGCGAAAATAAAGACCTGTAATAGAGAGAAAGACTGGGGGAGAGAGGAAGATTATAAGAGGATTGTAAGACCCCAATATAATTATCCAGTTTAAGGTGCTCCAGAATGCGTATTTTTATTCCTGATCTCCTTTTCTTATTACCTTATGAGTATTCAACGTACCTTTGTTGAGATTTGTCTATGCGTTTCTATGCGTTGGACATAAAATTTGAGGGGCTGACATTATCAGGTAGGCAGGTAGGTATTTAATTTATGTTCTATTTAAAGATTCACTGATTTTGTTAGGAGCTGCATAATTTGCGCATAAAATGGCGCAAAGTGCCAGGTGGTGGTGACCTTCAGCTACTGTGAAGATTATGCTGTGGTGCGTATTAGTAAGCAAGTTCCCAGGTTATTTGAGCGACTAGTAGGTACGATTCCAACTGTAAACCTCACAAGAGGACTTGACTGAATATCTAGCAGGTGATGTATGTATCTTGCTATTTGAAACCTCGCTCATTATTAGTATCAGAGTTGAATTTATTTCTTTTGTGTGTCTTGAAGCTATTACAATCCTACATGCAAAATGTCCGGAAAACATCTGTCTCGCTATGCCAGATTATGTACCATCGCTCAGTTGCGAAGTATCCTGTGAAACTCCTGTACTGTATGCAGTGACCGCCCAGATACTCCTAAAATGCATGAATATGTGCAAAAGATACCCCCTTTATAATTTTCCATCCCACAACAATTATCACCTGTACCCCACTTCCCCGAATGAGGTTGAAAGCCTGTGTTATAGTGAACACTCAACCATACAACTCATCCTCATCGATATCACCCATACCCATCGCGTCGTCTTCATCATAGTCATCTTCATCATAACCATTACCATTACCATTCACTTCACCTCTCCAATCGTCACCAGCCGGCTCATTTGTCTCATCATCAACTTCTTCGACGATTTCCTCCTCATCATCGACAATACTACCTGCAACTGAGCCAGGAGCTGTGGATGCATCTCTACTGGTAACTTTGCTTCCAGTAGCGACACTGCCAGGTCCAGATCTAGTGCCCACAGTCTTGAAAATATCTCTAATGGCTTCATAGTTGATCTTCTTACTCCAACTTCTCTCCTTCATTGCATTGACGGCTGCTTCTGCTGGTGTGCTAGCTACACTGGTTTGTCCTTCTCCGATTCTTGGCTTCTTCTTTCTCGCTCTAG